AAGCTTGGTATGAAGCAACACCCCTGGTGGAATGAGCCCTCGTAGCACATCGCAGGCTAGAGCAATGGCATCCCTCACCAAGTGTGACATTGTTTGCTTGGTGGCGGCTGCCCCACTGTGTCGACCCCCATAGCAGATGAAGAGTTGCTCTGATTCACGCCACAGGCTAGTGCGGTGGACATAGGCCTGAAGAGCGCAGATGAGTGCTCTTGCTTCTATGTTCTGAATGGTGAACGTTAGAAGGCTTCAAGAGTAACCGGATGTAAGGTCGAGAACGGAAACATAGGAAAGTAGTCGGGGTGACGATGCAAAATAGCCTTCACCATGCCTGGGGCACAGTCTAAGGGTGTATTCACACCAGGAAAGTCCGATAGTTCACTTGCTTTGGTCCGGACCAAATAAATGTGTTTTTTTTTTTGGTACGGTTCGCTTTCACACTGCTCTTTTTGCAAGTGAACCAAAATTTGTAAACCAAACCACACGTGTGCTAAGGTCGTCCATTCATTGGACAAGGATTCTCAAGGGAAATCAGGAAGAGCAAAAAAGGCTCAGCATGGAGATATTTCCATATATTTCATACTGCAATATTTGTTCTTTTACTAATTTTGTGTTAATTCTGTACAAACGCAATATGAAGAAACTAATGAGTATCATATGATACAATGTCATCTATACAAAGTTGTAATTCGGATTTTGAGAAGACGACGAGTGTAACGTTTGAGTGGCTCTATAAATGCGGGGAAATACGACAACTCTAGTCTCTCGTGCATCTTTTCATTCGACCATCTACTCTTTTTTTTTTTTTCTCTGGGCAACATCTCAACTTTGCGTTACAAGTGGCACTGCACAGAAGACAGAGAAGGTATAAAGTTTTCATTCATAGAGAGGGGCTATGTTCACTCATTCAAATAATGAGATTCTTATTGTGTACAAGTGCTGTCAATGTTAACGCTTGCGATTAAGTTTGTCCAGTTTAACGTAAATTAACGCATCATCATCCTTGTATTGTAACTATCCTTACATTAATAATAATAATAATTCATTACATTTATATTTAGAATTTTTCTCGGCACTCGCTTTAAGGGGGAAACTCGTCAACCACCACCAAAAGGTGGTGAACTGCAAATGCTTTATGAACTGCAAATGATTATTTTTTTTGCATCTTTGTGCGATTAGACACACGACTCGCAGAAAGACGCGCAATATTCTCTTTTGACGCAGTGCTTTCTTGCAATTGGGTCGGTTCATGTTCACACCGTAAACGAACCGTACCAGAGTTCGTTTGGAACCGTACCGAGACCACCTCTTCAGCTGGGTCTCGGTTCGGTTGTTTGGTCCGCACCCGAGTTCGATTGCTGTATTCACACCTGCCCAAAAGGTCCGCACCAAGGGGGCAAACGAACTAGAGTTCGATTCAATCGAACCAAACAAGGCAGGTGTGAATACACCCTAAGATGGATGTCGAGGTCGACAGAGTCTGCAAGTTATAGCCATGAGAAAAAAAATGTTTATGGTCTGGAACTCTAGAGGTTCAGCGCCTGGGGGTCCCAACCAGCCCCTCAAGGACTATGGCTAAGTCCCACAAATAAAATGTGGTTCTAACGGGAGGTCTCAGTTAAAGCTGGTGAGCAGAGGATGCTTCCCGACCGGCATCCCGTCAGTCAAGGTATGGCAAGACTATATATCATCCATACTGGTCCATACAAGGTGTTTTTTTGGGTCCTTGAGATGTTTTGACATGCCTTGACATTTGTGCTTTTTTCAGTTGCTTATAAACATATTAATGGCACAGGTGAAATTACACTCTATTTAACACAAACAGGGCTACCATAGTATGTGAGCAACATGTATGTACATGTTTGCATTTTTGAGACAATATTGTTTATGCATTAAGATAAACAAAAAATTTAAGTTTCCTGGATGGCAGCCCGAACCCTGCCCACAACATTTTTTGGTCGGGAAGTTCGGTCTGGACTCGATTCATTGAGGAGAAATTATGATCAGTCAAAAAATGATTTGACTGGACGGGCTTTATACGATGATGGACAGATGATCTGCAGGGACGTAATCATCACGTTATCAAAGAGCGCTTAACTGGTTTCCCTTAAAGATGACTGCAGCTGGAGAATTGAGATGTATAGATTCCGCTGTCGCGTCTGTTGTAAAATAAATTTACAGCACAATTATTTTAATAGACGAACAGAAAACTGCAATCAAGGCATTTGTCAATCGGACAGATATTTTTGCCGTCCTTCCTACATGATTCGGCAAAAGTGTAACTTATCAGCTGGCTCCGACGGTCGCTAAGAAGATGGGATGTAATGAAAAGCCTGTGGTCGTTGTGGTTTCTCCTTTGGTCGCACTCATGGAGGAGTAAGTAAAAGAAGCAACACTCGTTATTTTACTTCTAAAATAAGTAAGTTCTATAGTTGAAAACTGCGCTATGCAAAGAAGTTGACTTACTGCATTGCTTTGATTGGTTGTAGGTCTACCGACTATCCAATTGAGTGCAGAGGTTTTTTTTTTTCCTGGTTCGGTTAAGACACGCCTCATAATCAAAGCCCTATGGAGAAGTTTCAGACTCACATTCTGACATTCACATTTTGCTTTGCATTTACAGCAACACTCCAAAATCCAATCAGCATATACATAATACATAAATTCCGTATACATGGAAAACGCTTACTACAGCCTTATTTGACCCTTTTTTTTCCTCACAGTCTTTCAGCTGCCAATTTTCAGTGCATGATTTGTATAATAGAAACATCTCCTCCTGCCAATGTAAAACTTTTCATTTTGGTCTCTGTAAAACTAAATTCAGGTTCCAGTGAGAATTGCTGGAGATGGTAAAGTCAACCTGATATGATATTCACCTCAAATTTCACTTCTGTTACTTGATTGTGTCCATTTGGGAACTGATTGAATGTTGAAATGAAAACAAAATATATATTTTCTGTTCATTTTCTTGTAATTTAATTCCTCTCACAGTTCACACTTTAACTAATGTGTAGAAAATAACGCCGTTTGAGCTATAGACTCAGTTTTAACACCATACTGTAGCAGTCTGAGGAAGCAGCACCCCATCCATGTTTTTGTAAAGAAACTTGCGCAATCATACATTTTTCATCAGAACATATCTGCAGCAGTGAAGTGAAAAGAGAAATCACACTGCACTCACTGCAGATTTTCACTATAACGCACAGCACAATCATCTGCAGTATCAACACAATTAAAGACATCAAAATTTCATCACATAGGATGACTCTGAGGTCTTGAGTTTGAGGGTCCATCATAACTACGACATTTCTATTGGTAGAAATCAATACAGTAGAGTATTGTTACTGAGCTGAGTTGCATAACTGAAGCCAAGTATTATTTTGTAATTGTTATTATTAAATTTTTGAGGTTTTAAGCAAATAATCACATCTATTGTGGTTAACTTTTACCATTCATGTTTAAATTTATGGTGACAGTGAATCTTTCCGTGTGGAAAATTTCAGGAGTTCACATGTACGTACATAAAAAAATCAAATATAATTTTAATGCGTATTTAGCTTGCTGTGAGGAGGGCTCCGAGCTCAGAATTTTGCCCGAACCCAGAGTACTCCCCCTATACTGGGATAGACCCAGTTGAGAGTGAGGTGATGGGGTGATGGAGGGATGCTGAGAGACTTGTCGTGAGACAAGAGGTGAGAAAAGCTTGATTTATACTGGCTTCCTTTCAGTTGATTGGTTGATTACCTGAACATGCTCCTCCCGAACTTTGTTTACATCAAACTTCATACAATGAATAAATATATAGACTATTTTAGTATAGTGTTCACTTTTCAGTTTTATTAATTATTAACCTTAAATTATGTAATGCTGTTGATTAAGGTAAAGGCCAGTCTTTATTCCTCTGGATATTTACTTAAAAAAAAAAAAAAAAAAAGTCTTAACGAAAACAAAAATGTAACTGTGTGTAAACAACCTTAAATCCCAGTGGATTAGTCCTTGTGCAAGATAACTAATTTGAATGTATTGTATACTGTACAGCATACTAATACCTACAGCTATTACAATGTGTACTTTTAAAACTGTACTTCAGTTTATTTAGAAACATAGTAATGCACTCTCTATTTATGAACAATTAGGCCTATGTGACATTTATTTATTTATTTATTTATTTTTCACCAATAATTTTATGGTTAGAAGTACTGTCACTTTTAGGAGCAGCATTGCAGATACAGTAACAAACACATATTTATACATATTTGCTATAATAATACATGACAAGTGATATCTGCACCACTCATGAAAAGCACCAGCCACCAATACCCATATCTTAACATTTCATCAAGAAAACGTTTAACCCCTGCAAAAAAGTAACCAAAGCAACACAGACAAGGAAAAAAGCTTATACTCAGGTTAATATGTCAGATAAACACTGCTATGTTCCCACCTAAGCAACACACCTATTATCAACTGTCAAGATAAGGTTTTTTTTTTTTTATTATTATTTTTAATGCGATTATCTTGGGACCACCAGCCTCGTTTTAAGATCCACTTGACTTTTTTTTTTGGAAAGGGGATTTGAATTTGATTTGTTCCCCCGACTCCATCACACACAGCCCATCTCAGAGCATGTGATAAATGGGGGAGAGAGAGAGAGAGAGAGAGAGAGAGAGAGAGAGAGAGAGAGAGAGAGAGAGAGAGAGAGAGAGAGAGAGAGAGAGAGAAGAAGCCAAAATGCTCAAATATAGCTGCAAAATTTGTAGCATCCTGCCACATCCTGAGGGACGACCAGAAACCAGAAAACATACACTAAACACACACTCTCTCACAGCCTAAGACCTACACACATGTATATAATGTTCAATATTTTTCTTTTTTATGTATATATATATATATATATATATATATATATATATATATGATTTCTAAATCCATTTTATTTTATTATTTTATTATATTTTAATCCATTTTATTTATTTATTAATCTGTTCATTTTATTATTATTGTTGTATGATATCAGTTTTAATATTTTGTGTACTAAATGTTCCAAATCATTTTCTATGTTGTTTTGACGCGTTGGCAATACAAAATGTATTTTTTGTCATGCCAATAAAGCTTTCTGAATTGAATTGAATTGAATTGAATTGAGAGAGAGAGAGAGAGAGAGAGAGAAACATTCTGGCATGTCTTTTATCTTTCAGAGAACCAGCATCTCTATCTCTCTCTCTGATATCTTTGCATCTACTCCACTCCTGCCACCTTTCTGTCAAAATCACAGGGACAAATATCTTTGTTTGTTCTGTTTATTTCTGTGCTGTCATTTATGCTACCCAGAAATTCAGGTGACCACCAGTCAAAAAAAAAACAATCTAGATTATGTGGCTTGTGCTGCACAACTGCAAATATAATATACAGTAGTAACTTGTTTGCTTATAGTCAACAGTACTTTTTGCACAAAATGCACATATGTAGAGTTTTTAACTTATATATTTTAAATTTAGCACACATCCATTATACAGCTACCTCAAAAAGGCTAAACACAGGCTATCTACAGTCCAAAAGGTCTTATGCCTGGTTCAGATTACACGATTTTATCCCAATTTTGGCACGATTCGTTTGACGTAGGGTGTCGTGGGGATTCGTAAACGACAACTGGCGTCGGGACGCAATATTTGATCGTATCATATCGCATAGAGTGTCATAGTGGGCGACAACCTACAGTACGTCGCGTCTGCGATGCTTCATGACAAAAATACTAGCATGTTTAATTTTTAGAACGGTCGCCCACGACGGTTCCGTGACATGTATGAGGTTGACCAATAGGAGCACAGAAGATTTTCCGTACATAACTTTCAAAAATGGCGAAACGAAAGAGAGACGATGGTGCTAACGTTAAAACTAAAAGTAAAAATATATAAGAAAACAATATTTTACCTCAAGTTCTCTTTGGAGGATTGACAGCCCACTGTCCTCTTCGAGAAAACCAGGAACGTGTCCATTGTCGGGATTTCTTTCTTTTTTAACTTTTTTTTTCTGAACACAGGACAGCCAATACAACACTCACCGCTTCATCCATTGTTTGTTTCCGTTCGTTTCCGAAAGTCACTCTCTACAAGTTTTACCTTCTAGATGACATCACGCGCGCCGTTAAAGACGGCATGTGATAACTGGTCAGGAAGCAACGTGCAATCTGACATGCGTCTTCTCCACGACACGACAAGATTAGGAGTCAAAATCGTGTTATCTGACACAGTGACAATCGTAACAGACAAAAAAAAAAATTGTGTAATCTGAACCAGGCATTAGAGTCATGGGTGGGTGGGCACCTTTGATTTGGGCAATAAGCAACAGAGGGCACCTTAACAACTGTTTAGCAATAGAAGTGATTTGAGCAAACAAGCAAATCTATGTGGTTACTATGTTCTTCATTAATTTGATTACATCAGTTTGATCAGTTAACAACCTATTTTTAAATTGTGTTCTTGTCTAAATATTTCAATATACCATTAATTAATAAAGGAATGTTTGGTTTATTGGTTGATCTACCTAGCTAATATCTCCAAATGGTCTGAGAACAGTTATCGGTCATCATAGAAGCACACTGCATAGAAGAACATAATAAACAACAGAAACGTCATGCACACAAATGATTAATAGTAATAGATTAGAGAGAAAGCAATGGAATAAGTCAATGAAGATAGGGCAGAGGAAGACGAGACGAAACTGACAGAGAATTATGGGAAGTCGTTTGAGAGCGATTGAGCAACCACCCAGAAATCCTCCCAAACAGCACCAATGCCCCCACCACTCATTCATAAGCTTTTTTGATAATTGATACTAATGAGCGGTGGGAGCTGTTGACAGGTTTAAAGGGTTCAGAGCTGTGATTGATGTGAAGTTTCACGCCTGTCTAAACCTGATGCTCCAACATGCTGATCTCAACTATTTCACCCCACTAATGATAATGATTTAATCGTGTTTTATTTTTAAGATGAATTGCTGCTAATTTCCAATTATCATGGCATTAATTAATAAAGAGTTTAATAATCCCTCATCGTGTGTCTTTCACTTTGTTTGCATAGAGCCTACATTTATTAACAATATTTAGCAACTTTTCCAAGAACCCTTGAAAACAAGAATTATCTTTATTATCTTAAAGCCTGCAAAAAAACACCTGCAGAGGAATCGTTTCATTAGCGTTTTGAGATTAATAACATTGTATTTATTATTATTATAGCATGTTTTATTAACAGTAATAAATCAGAGAGAAAGCAATGGAATAAGTAAATGAATATAGAGCAGAGGAAGATGAGAGGAAGCTAACAGAGAATTTTGGGAAGTCATTTAAGAGTGTCTAAGCAACCAGTCTGAAATCCTCACCACTCATCCAGGTCATTGGTACAATTTTTTAACTTTAGCTCTGTATTTTTTTTCAGCTGCCATACAGTCACTCTAGTCTGATATGGGGTCAGCACTCTAGAAACTGGAGATCAGACCCCTTCTGACAGAGCAACACTCATCCAAAGTCATCTATCCAAAAGCTGGAGAAATGCCAGTGCAATGGATATAAAGGGGAAAACGAAGTTTAAAGCTATATCCACAATGCTGTCCCACCAAGTCAGGGGTCATTCAAACTAGTCAAGAAAAAAAAAAAATAGCACATTTGCCTATGCAGAGTTTAAACCCAGCAGTCATCTTATGGGAGTTGCTTGTAGAGTATGAAAACCTGAAGCATGACTTTTTTATTTGTTGATGCCAGATGCAATTGGGCTCCGTTCTCCAAAGCAAGACTTGACAGCCAAGCGCTGGCTCTTGAGTGAGAAACCAACTTAGCTTCCATCACTGTTGACCCTTATATGCACTTACTAGTGTTGTAGTACTCGAGACTGGTCTCGAGGTGACTTTTTGATGGTCTCGTACTCGACCGTTTTTGGTCTCGGTCTCAGACATTGAGGACTCTGGATTTTTTTTGAAGACCAGACAAGCGTTGATGTCAACCCCTCACGTATTTTAGCTCTTTTCCTACTGTCTTCCTGTTTTAGTATTTTCCTGTAAAGTATCCTGTTTTTTACACTCTGAATGTGTGAGACGTTCAAGCTCGGACAGATTCGGCTTGAAGTCGTTCATCCTCGGACTAAATTGATGATTACTGAATCAGTCCCATATACATATATATAATACATATAGCCTCTAAACGCCATTTGAAATTTTCTTTTAAAAGGACCATTTTTATCAAGCTTGTATATTTAAGTTCAGTAATTTCACTTAAATGACAATTAATAGGTCATATTCATTGCCATTCAAGTGAAATCACTGAACTTAAATATACAAGCTTGATAAAAATTATCATTTTAGAAGAAAATTTCAAATGGCACTTAGAGGCTTTTGCATCTGAACTCTTCATATATATATATATATATATATATATACTGTAGGAACTGATTCAGTAATCACCACTTTACTTGACATAAAACAGAGTACTATTCTTCTTCCATTTCTTATTTATTTTAGTTATAAAGTATATTTGTATTTATGCATTTGTTTTGTTAGTTATTATGCTTGCCCATTGGCAGAGATTGTCTCTTACTGCAAGAACAGTAACAGGTTTCTACAGTTTGCAGTCAGGTCTTAACATAATTTCCTTCTGATTTTAGTAAACGGTGCGTTCAAATGTTAGGAGTAGAATTAGAACTATGCTTGTTTGTCTATAAGGTTGTTTTTTTCAAAACCAGTAAAAAATGAAGGAACTTGCTACTTGGCGAAATCATATTCACCTGATATCGATTCCTGCCATGCACTGCGGCACTTTATGGTAATTACAGGTAAACAGCATAGACAGTAAAAGAAATGGACAGAGCGATCTCATTGGAACTCCATTGAGACGATTGAAGCCTGTTTTTGGCGATTTTTTTAGCACTTCCGTCCCTGACGCGCAGACTCAAACAGAGCTTGACTATGTAGATGTGACAAGAGCCACCCGTCTGTCTTCTAGTGCTGTGGCGTGAGAAATCTGAATCATTCCCTTCTGAAGCATGCAGAGGCGGAGAGTGTGAATAGGAGCCGTCCATGAGCTAGGAGCAGGAGACACTTTTGCTAGGTATTCTGATTAATTGTTTTGTTATTTTGCCTCCAGGTTTCCCCAATTGCGCGCAAGCTTCTTCTCCTGTCCATATGGTAATCTCTCTACTGTGCGACAGAGAGTCGCGTGAGTTATGGAGCATTTTATACATTGTCGTGTTTCTTTAGAAAAAATAAATAAAGGACAAATGGGGTCTTCAAACGCCTCAGATGTAAAGTTATTCGCTGTCAAAGTGACGCCAAAATGAATGGGAGTAAATGGGAATGCTAACGCAAATGAAGTTCTGCTACAAGATGGCAGATCCCGCGAGGTTTCAACTTCCGGTCGATGGATTACCCCCTTGGTAAACAGTGTCAGTTGGCATCTTGAGGCAAAAAAAAAAAAAAAAAGGTCTCAGTAAACTGGAGCAGTGGATGAATGTCACCAGTAGATAAATGCAGTTCCGATGATTGCTAATGTCTCCCCTTGGGTCTGGATGGCTGGCATAAAAGAGTTTGTGCTTCACGGGAAACTACTCCACTCCAGAATACTGCTTTTCACTGCAGCATATGATGTTTTCTATAGTATCCTCACATTCTCTGCAAACACTGAAGGAGGAGCAGCTGTCATGAATAAATGATGGAGGAGCAGACAAAACACATGATTAATATGCAGAAATCCCCCACACACCCTCTTATCTATTCCATCCACTTCTTCATGCCCCCTCCCTAGTATTGCAGTACTCTGTCCACCTCTCCGTGTGCCACATGCTGACGAATGCGATGTTGATGGGATATCATAGTGCATTAAAGTTGTTGTTGCCACACAGAGAACAATGCTTGCAAAGAAGTACAGCTTGCTGGGTCATATCCACGTTTCATGAGCAAACAAAACAGCTGGGGGCTAAGAAGCAGGACACACAGATTGTTCATAATGGTGCAGTAGAGCTGTCACCCCCTGCTGTTAACCCTCTTCCTTTCCAGAACCGTTTGTCTACTCCTTGACCTGCTCCCTACTAAGCTCCTTCAAAGCAACTGCCACTGGAGAGGGGTGTTTAACTTGGGCAATATTAGCTCTGTTTTAAATCTTACTGAGGGTGCACTCCATTTCACTTTAGATACGCACTCGTAAACTAAGAACTTTCCCTCAGGGCAATGGGTCTCATTCATGAAACATTCGTAAATATACGAGTAAATATGAGAGTGATTTGCGCGTAAAGAGACCTTCCCGTAAAAATTCTTCTCCTGATTCACAAATACTTCGTGAACGTCAGATGTGATAGTGAAATGTGTGTGTGTGTGTGTGTGTGTTAATGAATTCCAATCAGTCGTAAATGGGATGCGCGTGCACGTTCATTCTCAATTACCATAAATCCCGCCCATTATATCCAACTGACATCTATATATAGGCATATATAACATGAATGCGAATGAAAAAGAAAGATTTCTCGGATGCAGAAATTGAAGTTTAATTATCAGAAGTTCATTCAAAACGCCACATTTTATTTTAAAGCGTACATAGTGGCATATCAGGTCCTAAAAAAAAGGCTTGGCATATTACAGATGCAGTTAATGGAGTTTCATCTGTTAATCAAAAAGTCCCAGAAGTGAGAAGAAAATGGTTCGACATTAAGCTTGACGGCAAAAAACCAATTAGTTCACTTCGGAAAAATCATATTCAAACTAAAGAAGGACCACCATCGATCAACAGATCTGCTATTACTGGCTCTCATAATAAAAGTAAAAAGAAAAACCATATGTAATTACTATATAATTTTTTTTTTTCAAAATGTTTAAATATGTACCCATTGGTGAATTAAAATGCAGCCTTTCTTAATGAGCAAAACGTTTGGATGTTAAGCGCACCATTTACGCGTGGCTGGGAGCAGGTGTAGATTTCTTGCGTACCAACTAACATTTGGAAAATACGAACATTTTAATGAATCTGAAAATTTACGCCAGAACCACTTTACACACGATTTACACACAAATTCGTTCTGCTCGTGTTTCATGAATGAGACCCAGTGTGCCTATGAATATATATTTTTTTTATACTTTCAATATACAATTTAATCAAAGGTATGGATTTTTATGGCTTTAACAATGGACATTGCCCCTTCATGAAAAATAAGAATTTTATTTGAACTACTTTTTGTGTGTGAAGGTTGTTCCGTGTGATGGTTGATCTGGGGTGAATGATGAGTTCAATCTCTCCTATTATTTTTTTTGCAAATGTTGCTACATATGACAATTGTATGTCACACTGTATTCATGTTTGTGGTTACAGATTTTACATATTTTAATGTAAATTTTGATAAATATTGTTTTATTACGATTGTAAAATGTCACGTGATCTTCACTATCATTATGGAAGCTCTCAATTTTAGAAATTGCCTGGATTTGTGCATATTAGTCTGGTTGTTTCTCCCTTGGCAGAAATAGTGGTAAAACCACATACATGAGTAGTTATAAACACAAAGTGGTAAAGAGAAAGCCACATGATGAATCAAAGTTTATCACAAGCTGTGATAAATGTTATTTACACTAAGTGTAAATACAAAAGGTATGTTCTTGTTCTATGTTCACTAAGTGTAAATAATTTTAAATGCTATTTAAACTAAATATAAATAGCATAAACACCAAGTGTAAATATGAAATTCTATTTACACCAAGTGTATACACCATGTTCTCTAGTACATTAGATATTGTTGCACCATTTAGATTAAAAAAGGTTAGAGAGAAAACTAAAGCACCATGGTACAACTGTGCTACGCATGCTATCAAGAGAGAAACTCGTAACTGGAAACAAACTAATTTAGAGGTCTTTAGAATCGTGTGGAAAGACAGTAAACGCTCTAAAAACAGCCAGGGCTGAGCATCTGCCAGGCATGAAAACGGGTCAGGGATGAAAAAGGTGAGAAGGATATTACCCCTCAAGGAGGGTCCGGGGGCATGGTCCCCCGAAGGAAAATTTTAAATATTCCATATTTTAAAGCATCAATCTGATGCATTTTAAGATGTATTTTTTGCCAACCTGCGGAGGATAAACTTAACTTCAGCCATAAGTCAAAAATATTATGGCCTCCGTAGTGTTAGCTAATAATTTTCCAAAACATTTGCTGTTAACGTAATCTGTACAAGTAGTTCAAATTAATATAATTTATGATATGTGATGCAATCATATCTGACATATACTGTAAAGCTTCATTGTCAAATTCAAGTTGTAATTCTAGATCCTGTTTTTGACATCAATTGAAATTCAAGAATTGAATTGGAATTCAGGAGTCATTCTCAATTCAATTCTGAATTGTGCACAAGCCTGGTATATATACTTGTTAGCTATTTATACTTGGTGCAAACAGTGACAGATTTTTGCACCTCAGTGTATTATAGCGCATTATAAAATAACAACATATCCAGTGTAAATTATTAAATTGATTAAAATCATAAATGGATGCTGTCTTTTTGAGACATTACTTGTCCCTACGCTTTAACTCTTGGATGACAAGGTAACGCTTGTAGTTAGTTAGGAGTTAACATGTTTTTCACTTTAAAATAATGGGCCACATCACTAGCAGTTCCTGCAGGATGACAAGGTAACGCTTAAGTAGTTATTGAGGAGTTAACATGTTTTTCACAAATGATACAACAAGTAATTTAATTTTATATTTGACACATACTGTACACAGGTTCTGTGAGGCACTAATGTTCTTACAAACTGAAATCTGGAAGATGTGGTTTTGCGCTTATCGTAACATAAATGCAGCCAATTTGTTCATTAAAGATGCTAATTGTTTTTGACAAGTGAACATCAATGTTTATATTCATGTCCTAAAGAGAAGTCCTCCTCAGGCAGCTACTGTAACATAAAGTTATAGGTCTTTGGAGTCTGAGATATATGTGACTGACATTCAATTGAGCTCATAATAGTGAACTAATCCAATCATGAGAGTGTCAGCATCACTTCCTAATTATTTAAGGTTTATTTTTAAAAACTGTCATTATTAGTATTATTTTATGTTTAAGTTTTAAATAAACGGAGAACATGAGTCCATCCTGGCAAGAGTAGTGGTCACAATCTCAACCTAGCTAATGTATTTGGGGGGATGTATAAACTTCATAAACTGGTTTCCACAAAGAACCCATTTGAGGCACGTGCTTCTGAAATGTTATGACCATGTTAAGAGTATAAATCCCCCACAATTGTTCACTTTTGTGATTAGTAATTGATTGGTTATTATTTCTTAGTTCACAAGTAGTTCTCAATGAGGATATATTCCTTTAGTAATAATCAAATAACTACCAAGGAACTACCTTTGTACTAAATTACCTATTACTTAATGCTTAGTTAATATTGATTCCATATTAGTTAATAGTATTAACTTCGGTGTTAATGCAGTACTACCTATTACTTCCTGCATAGCTACTTGTTAACTACGGACCGTTATTTTAAAGTGTTACCCTTACACTTTATACCTACTATTACATACCAGTTTGACACTTTATTTCCACTTTTATTTAAAGTAAATGCTGCTCTGAGCTGATATGTGATGAGAAAAGGGAGAAAAATTAGTTCAGACTTGGGACGGTTGTGTCAAAACACTAGCCACCATACTCTCTACACCACTGATCCTGTTATCAGCGGGAATTATTTTTTTTTATTTTGTCTGGATCAATCAGACAATGGTTGGTAGAATTAGTGTAAATAGCAAGGCTGTTTGCTCTTAGTGTAAATAGACACTCCAAAATACACATGTGACATAACATAAATTACATTAAAATAATGCAATTATCTGCAAAGGGTTGGAAGCAACTGTATCTGCTTTGTTGAAGTGGGAATTTACAGACATATATCTTCAAATATGTTGCTTTCAATCTCTATATATTTTGACAAGTTTTCTCTTTATGAGGCTTTAGGTCATGCTTTATGAGGACAAACCACATCCCTCCTGTTACAGCTGCTGCCATCACGTTATGAGAATAAAGATGTGTCATATTATTATCCACCAGGGAGCTGTTTAATTGCTCACAGGCAATAACTTTTACTCACAAAAAAATAAAAAAATAAAAACACTGTGCCAGGGTAGAGAACAGCCAAACACTGTCCTGAAGATCCTCCTTGTCAGATCAGTGAGGTGGATTTATCTTTAAAACCAAAGAGCGCTTTTTCTCTTCGTAGCTGACCTTCGCTTTATATCACAATTATTGCATGCAGGATGATTTTTCACTTATTGCACAAAGTCATTAATGCATCAGTAACAAATGGGAAGGAAAGGAGACATTAACCTAGGAGAAACAATTCAAAAGAAGGAACTGATGTAAGTTGAGGCAGGATGTGAAAGTTGTTGTGCACTGCAAGCTGATTTGTTCTTTAACAGGAATCCATTGAAGTATAGCTTTTCTTTTGATGTTGCTTTGAGGCATAAACATGCTCTGTTCCAAAATCTTGTAACTACCCCCTTACGCAGGCAACATTTCTCATTTCAACAAGTCTCATGCGCTCCCGATGAGATTATTATTCAGTAGAGCTGTGCAGAGAAGCCAATATTTATTTCTTGTACATTAAAAATATTTACATGTTTTTACATTGTACTTATATTTGAAAAATACCAGCATGTAATTACAGCTATAATTAATTTATGTAATTACATTTGTAACTACACAGTTAACACAGTCTCATCCCAATCCGTCATATAACTGACGTCTTGGGACGTCTTTTGACCATACTGTACGTCAACATCCACCGTTTTAGGGTACCCTTTAACGTCAGTTACATGACGATCCTGGGACGTCATACAACTGACGCTTTACCTTTAACGTCAGTTAGGTTTAGGGGTAGGTTTAGGTCTGGGGTAGGGTTAGGATCCGATAACATCAACTAACTGACGTTAAAGGGTACCCTAAAATGGCGGATGTTGACGTATGGTCAAAAGATGTCCCAAGACGTCAGTTATATGACGTCTTGGGATGAGACTGCGCTGACACAGTTAACCCTACCCTTGCACCTTAACCCATCCTTAAACCGACCCATACCACCACACCTGTCCCTAACCTTACCCATATCATACCTCATTAGCAGCAAAAGTGATTTACAATACAACAGGAACACAATAATACGTTGTACTTATTTTTCAATGTAAGTACATAGTACTTCAAGCCACTTAATATAAAGTGGGAACATATACTTTAATTTAAACAGTAATACTAAATAATACAATATAAGTACAGAGTATAATAATACATAATTTGCATGAACCCAACACTTGATTTTCTTCAAATTTTGTTAAAGCCATTGAAACTCATGGAACTTTGTGGAACCCATGCACAACAGAGAAACATCTCCAGTCCCTCATTCTTCCTCAATTAATTTTTTTATCATGTAACACAACATACATTTGCACCGGACTCATTCAGTGGTCCAATGGCCTATTGGCCCCTTTTAAACCGATACAATGACACAGTATTGTAAAACCACTGTCACAAACAGGTGGGCTATGAGTCAGTGGGGTCTTGCATATAACTCCTCAGATTTTGAAAAAAATGATTAATAATTTTAGTGTAAATTGTAATAAATAATAATAAATTGTAGTGATGCAATGATTTATTTTATGTTTCTAATATTTAAATGCACGTAGTACTAGGGAAAAAAAAATGTCTATGGATGTCTATGGAAGTGGCAATAATAATCCTTTCAAATAGATGAATAATTGACAATGTGTTTTATTAATAATAGATACATGCTGTGTATTTAATAATAAAGTTCACTCTATTCTTTTCCAGCTCACTTACATTCATGTCTTTCAGAAGGAGAGAATCAAAGTTAACTACTGTACATTTTGTAAATCCGACAAATCGAATTCTGAATCGCTGCACTCATTTTTCATTCATAGAGTTTATGCTAGACTGTGTCTAGTGACAAATTAGTTTTTTTTTTTTCCTGCAGACATCAGTTCCAACCCTGCTCCATCAAATCTGCCTGTTATTTTCAATTAATCCTGAACACTTTGATTAGCTAGATCAGGTGTGTTTGACTAGGGTTGGAGAGCTGCCAGATGATATCCCTCCAGGAGCAGAGTTAGTATTACAGTATCGAGTTGTTGAGCTTATTAGTATGCTAACATGAAACTTTGTTAGTTGAGACTCTTGTGCACTTCATGAGAGTACTACAAAGTATATGGTGCACTTGATGGATTTTAAGGGAGTTGTTGCCCATGAAGAGCGATGAATCACTTATGAGGTTACATTTAGGTCATGATGACACTCTGAAAAGGTAAAGAATAGACAGAGTGGCATCTTGGACTGCATTCCACTTCACTTTTTTATGCCCTTACTAACGTCCCTCCATCTCATTAACTCGGATGTAAGTCATCCCTTGTCATTGCACAAGTGCCCAGTACTGGTGGAACCTCTTGCAATCGGTTGAATTGGAACATCCCAAGCCCTTGATCACTTTGAATCTGCCATTAATGACATATTATCCCTGTTATCATTTAATACACCTATGCCTGTAGGTATGCTTGGACAAAATATATAAAATTCCATTAACAAATAACATATCACTACGATACAGTGTTTAACAAAGTATCAAAGTACCAGTTTTGGCCACAATCTTGCATACAGCTCCTAAAAATATATATATTAATGTTTTCACCCGCAAGCGTTCTTAAGTAAACAGGACCGAAAGTGTTACCTTCAACTTATGTACAGTTCTAAGGTACTCTATGCACCTTTAGGGGGCACAAAAGGTACAAAGCTGTTCCCATTGACAAGCTGCCCTAGCCAAAGGACAATTTCTGCACATTTGTTTTGTTCTGACAGTGTAGCTTGTAGCTTTTTAAACTACTGATAGGTACCTTCCTCACACTGTAGTGTGAAACTCTTTCAGTGCACTTGCAGTAAGAGAGAACCCCTGCCAATGGGCAAACCAGTCATCCAATAAGTGAACTGACAAGCACAACAACTGACAAATTAAAAAAAAAAAAATACATCCCTAGGGCCATTCTGGTTATCCAATCAGGCTAAAGCATGCTGA